ACGATACCACCTATTTCGCAACGGTGCCTCTCTCCATGCGTGAACAATCGGCAACCCCCAGATGCGTCAGTTTCTTTCCCGGTCTGCGGCATAGGGGCACGCGTACACTCGCGCTTGATGTGGTGTGTCAGAGAGCGGCAGAAGTAACTAACTCCACAGTTAGACGCGGAAGAAGACTCCCTTGTGGCCTCAACTCCGTTTCTCCCCCTGCTCCCATGGGTTTGACGTACTAGAGGACGTTGGTGGGAGACCTTATTCCGATGTCTTCAGCGCCATAGGGGAATCACCCGTTAGTTTTATGTTATTTTAGGAAAACCCCCCCCCCCCCCCCCCCCCCCCTTCCCTTTCCCTTCACCTTCCCTTCCCCTGAACGTCTTCCACTCAGCTTCGCCCATTAAGCGCCAGCCCCCTATATCGCGAACCTCACCTGCGAGCCCTCTCACGGCCACTCAGCGACTCCTTCGCCGCCCCATACGTTGCTGGCTAGCCTCTTGTGTGCCTCTTATGCCCATGCTGTGAACCAGTCGGGTTGTGCACGACGATCATCCTTCCGTGGCTGGCCGGATGCTCCCCTCCCCGCGAGTGGGCTTGGATGGAGCAGCTAGCGAGTTAGCGAGATGAGTGCCTCTGGCTGTGCCTGTGCCTTTGCCTGTACGTGTACCTGTGCCAGCATATGTGTCCTCCGTGTGTCTGTGACGCTATGTGTAGGACCTGATTTTCGTTATTGATGTCCTGATCGAATGTAGCTAACGGCCCCCTTCATGCATAACTAGTCAATGGAGCCTGTCTGTTTCTCCTGATTGCTGGATGGTTTGATCAGCTTGCTCTTATCTTCCTTGCTAAGGACTCGCAGCTGACGAGTCGAGCTGGCCGACGGAGCTCTCTGTAACCACCGCTATCCCGCAGCTCCTCGGCCTGGTTCTCTCCTCTGTCGATATAGACATGGACATGCCCAATTCCTCGCTACCCAGAGCCTCCTCAGGGAACGGACGGACGGCCCATCTCGAGCTTTGGCGGAGCCCATCAGGGACTGAAACTTAGTGCACTCAACCCCAACAAACCATTTGCTGTATCCATGCACACAAGACAACATCCACACGCTATCTATCTCTTGTCTCTCGATGCTCTCTCCTCCTCCCCTGGCCGTCATGCTCCGTCTTCTCCATCTTCTTCCCCCATAATCGTTTATCTACCGTTCATCTTACTCTACACTATTATTGGGTCTTTCTCTGGTTTCTCTCCCCTGGCCCCTTCGTCGACCGTTTCTCTCCACTGCCGCCAAGCTTCTCGGTACAACCACCCTGGCTGTCGTTCAAAGGCTCGCCAATCTCCTTGGACCGAAAAGTGACCCCCTCACGTATGACGGCTGCCTCTCTCTTCCCCCTCCATTAGCCTCATCGTCATCCCACTATTTACGTAGTACTACGTATGTATGGAGTAACACTTACATAGTGTCATCGCCATGTATACGTGGTCTAACCTAAGGCTCCCTTTCTTAGTGCGAGTCACCAATAGCCGCATCCTGGTTGAGAAATAAGCCCGGCGGCTAGCCACGAAAACGGCCACGCGGAGGTTCATTGAAAAGAGAATGGCCCCCCTCAAAAGTTTCCTTGACCAATAAGGCCCATGGAGGCATGGCAGATCCCCTATCATGATGAGCCAGACATCTGCTGTCTGGATCATTTTGGATCATCAATCCCGCCCTTGCTAGAGACTAGGTAACCACAGCCTGTATACTACTACAGATGCTAACTCTATACACCCTCCGCTTCCAAAATCCGTGGAGAAACAGCGAGAGATAGAAGGTTGAATTGGCTAGTTGTCATCCGCGCTAGTTCCTTCGAAGCCCTCCCCACCTGCAAATGATTCTCTCCCTCGCATATACGCCATGTCCATCTCTCTTTCATATCGAACACTTTTCGATGCTGTGGGTACAAATCTCCTCCAGCGCCTTTTTTCTTCTGTCTGAAGTCTACTGACTCGG